ATTCAGTAAATCCATTCTGTCGAAGCCGGGCGCAGTTTGTGATCTTTCCAGGTAGCTTGTTTACAACTTTCGGTGGCGAACTATTTGCATCAGGAGTGCAATCAGCTGTTTGCTACCCTCATCGGCGCTAGGGACGCTCCTGATTTTCTATTTCGGCCAATTTACTGGTGCATGGTGTCTTAAGAAAACTCACAGATTCGATACTGGCTTGGCTTTTGGGCTAGAATCAGGTGTAATTGCTGAAAGCACTTTTAGTGAAATGCTTGGTTACTCAATCTGGTGAAGGTTATATCCGACAAAAGAATAGTGACCTCGTTTAGATTCTTAGCCAATGAGAGGACATGAGGTTATGTTGGGAATTGCGTTCGTGGTGTGCACGTGCCCGGTGGGTCTGCACTTCCTTATTTTTTTTTCTTAGTTCCAGTCTCCCGCGTCTCCGTCATTTATGTAAATCCCTGTAAATGCAACATGGCTTCTTTTCCATTCGTTGGAACTCTAGAATCAGATGACGATGTAGACCAGTTAGATAATGAAAGTGATAGCGACGAAGAACCAAAGAAGGTATGTCGCCATTACATTTATACATATTCGCCTTTTTTGCCCGTTTCTAAAAGATTCCGTTTTGGTCTGTAGCCTGTCAAGAGAGCGAAAACCAAGAAGAGAGGCGGATCGCCGTTTGAGGACGACTTTCAGTTGTTCTCAGTAGAATTGGAGGATAATTTTCAAGATCCATGGAATCTCGACTTTGCTATTAAGTTTGTAAAGCGGAAACAAGAGTCGGTAAGTTGATAGATGTAGCTGGGAAGAGCTACAAGTAATTCAAGTTTGTCTTCCTGTTGAATCGCGTTTTAATTTTTGCATCATGTTTACAAAATTAATGGCCACGTGCTTCTGCATAAGCTGCTATGTGCGAATTATTCTTGTTAATCAACTGTTTAATGAAGGCTAATGCATTTATTTCCAGAATTTTAATTCATCAAGTCTTCAGGATAAAATAACAAAGAGAAGAGAAACAAGGCGGAAGGTATTCCTTTAGTAAATATATGCTGAAAATTCCAT